ATCTATTTGCACTCACCTTCTTCAATTTCCCCTTCATCTGTGTGAACATCTAAATTCACAGCAAGGTTCATTGATAAATCATAAAATTTATGAACGACAAACTTTGTAAAATATTTTTTAAACATATATCTTAACCGAAAAATCAGTTCAACTGATCTGAGAGAAACTATGCTTACCTCCTTCACCATCACCTTCAGTTTCTATTTGAAAAATGAAATACATGAGATAGGGACAATTAATATAACTCCATTTGTATTAAATATTTGCCTGAAGCATACAAGTAAATGAAATAAAATATATTCATCTATTTGGGCTCACCTTCTTCAATTTCCTCATCATGTCTGTTAACATCTAAATTTACAGCAAGGTTCATTGATAAATCATAAAATATATAAACGAGAAACTTTATAAAATATTTCTTAAACATATATCTTAACCACAAAATCAATTCAACTGATGTGAGAGAAACCGTGCTTACCTCCTTCAACATCACCTTCAGTTTCTATTTGAAAAATGAAATACATGAGATAGAGACAATTAATATAACTTCATTTGTATTACATATTTGCATGAAGCATACAAATAAATGAAAAGAAATATTAATCTATTTTCACTCACCTTCTTCAGTTTCCTCATTATGTGTGTGAACATCTAAATTTATAGCAAGGTTCATTGATAAATCATAAAATATATGAACGAGAAATTTTATAAAATATTTTTAACGTACATCTTAACCACAAAATCAATTCAACTGATGTGAGAGAAACCATGCTTACCTCCTTCAACATCACCTTCGGTTTCTATTTGAAAAATAAAATACATGAAATAGAGTCAATTAATATAACTCCATTTGTATTAAATGTTTGCCTGAAGCATACAAGTAAATGAAATAAAATATATTCATCTATTTGGGCTCACCTTCTTCAATTTCCTCATCATGTCTGTTAACATCTAAATTTACAGCAAGGTTCATTGATAAATCATAAAATATATAAACGAGAAACTTTATAAAATATTTCTTAAACATATATCTTAACCACAAAATCAATTCAACTGATGTGAGAGAAACCGTGCTTACCTCCTTCAACATCACCTTCAGTTTCTATTTGAAAAATGAAATACATGAGATAGAGACAATTAATATAACTTCATTTGTATTACATATTTGCATGAAGCATACAAATAAATGAAAAGAAATATTAATCTATTTTCACTCACCTTCTTCAGTTTCCTCATTATGTGTGTGAACATCTAAATTTATAGCAAGGTTCATTGATAAATCATAAAATNTTTGGCAAGTGTTCAAACTTAACAACTTTTTTCACCATAGAAACAACCCATGATGAAAAGCTGGATTCAGTTCGCAAAAAATAAAGTATTGCAATTTGATCTTATGTAACTATATAAATGTAGAGGATTCACTTTAGAACATATCAAATTTGCATGCAATTTGACTGATTTTTCGCAGTTCCATAAACATTTGAATTTAGACCATTTTTTCGTAGATTTCAAAATTTTCGCAAACTTTTGACCGGTAGTGTATCTTAACCAAAAAATCAGTTCAACTGATCTGAGAGCAACCATGCTCACCTCCTTCACCATCACCTTCAGTTTCTATTTAAAAAATTAAATACATGCGATAGGGACAATTCATATAACTCCATTTGTATTAAATATTTGCATGAAGCACACAAGTAAATGAAATAAAATCTATTCATCTATTTGGACTCACCTTCTTCAACTTCTTCTTCATGTGTGTGAACATCTAAATTTACAACAAGGTTCATGGATAAATCATAAAATATTTGAATGAGAAACTTCATAAAATATCGTCTTAACATATCTTAACCACAAAATTCAACTGATGTGAAAGAAACCATGCTTACCTCCATCAACATCACCTTCAGCTTCTATTTGTAAAAATAAAACACATGAGTATATAGTAAATTAATATAACTCCATCTGTAATACCTATTTGCATGAAGCATACAAATAAATAAAAAAAAATGCTATGTTCATCGATTTGCACTCACCTTCTTCAATTTCTTCTTCATGTGTGTGAACATCTAAATTAACAGCAAGGTTCAGTAATAAATCATAAAATATATGAATGAGAAACTTCATAAAATATCTTAATCAGAAAATCAATTCAGCTGATATGAAAGAAACTTTGCTTACCTCCATCAACATCACCTTCAGTTTCTATTTGTAAGCATAAAATACATGAGATATAGTCAATTAGTATAACTCCATTTGTATTACATATTTTCACGAAGCATACAAATAAATAAAAAAATTTATGTTCAACTATTTCCACTCACCTTCTTCAATTTCCTCTTCATGTGCGCGAACATCTAAATTTAAAGCAAGGTTCATTGATTAATCATAAAATATATGAATGATAAACTTGATAAAATATCTTTTTAACATATCTTAACCACAAAATCAATTCATCTGATGTGAGAGAAACCATGCTTACCTCCTTCAACATCACCTTCAGTTTCTATTTTTAAAAATAAAATACATGAGATATAGGCAATTAGCATAACTCCATTTAAGAAATCTATCTGAATCTATGTACACTCACTTGCTTTAATTTGCCCTTCATTTGAGAGTCCAACTTCTTTATTTATAGCAAAATTTAATCTTATTCAATTTAACTTAATTTATCTTCCATGTTTTGTATAATGTTTCAATTGCAAAGCAAATAAATGAATAAAAAGCATGTGTTAAGCTGTTCATACATGATTGCTTTATTTTCTTTTTCATCAGGATGTCCAACAGCTATATTTAAACCAAGATGTATACCTAAATAATCATTCCACAAAGAGTTTTCCCTTTTTATATACTAGTGAATTGGAATTGTATTATTGTAGCGGTAGTTACACCACATTGCTACCTATCAGAATTTTATCTGTTATAGAATTCGATGAATGGATACCACTAGTTGATTCACTGTTGTTTTGTGAGAAGCCCGCAGATCTGTATTTTTTATTTTATTTTATAACCGTCGTTGAACAGCCGACCCAATTTCATGGGTTTACGACTACTAACGTTCAACTCCGTAGCCTTGTAATTTTGAACCAATCCGGAAGACAAGGAAACTCCTGGATCAGTACCCCCAGAGGTATTGATTTGTTGTGGGAACATGGAGGACTTTGAGACTCGACAGATTTAACGTGCATCAGTCACCATTTACTACACGGGGAGTCTTCGGTCGGCGAGAATCGAACCCACGACCTCTTGGATATGGGCCCAGCGCCCTACCGACCAGGCTATCCCGGCCCCGCAGAGCGACTTTGCTGGTCGTGAGAGCTGAATTTAGATCATGGTGCTCTTATGTTGCAATTAGCAATCGAGTGTGTACTGCGCCCAGTGGTGTGTAATTGAAACTGAGTAGCAACAGTGTGAGAAGATCAATGACGCAGATACAAATAGCAAGAGCTTTAGAATTTATTGTGTTCATATCGAGATAGACGTTTCTTTTCAGACAGGCGGGGCTACAATGACGACTGTCAACCACTATTTATCAAAATGTACACCAAGTCTAAAATACTAGTGAACTAAAATTTTATTATTGTAGTGGTAGCTACACTAAAAGCCATATAATTCTTTATGGCCAGATGGTGTATATATTTTGAAATTAAAATTTTGACCTTAAGTGTAAAGGGCAGTTAAACAGTTTTCTTTTCTTTTTGAAAAAGCTTTGAAAAACGCTATCGTAAACCGGGGCGAGTCTACCCATTTT